TAGCATCAACAGCAGTGCTAGAGACAACAGTGGTTACCTGGAGGTTACCTGGAGGTTATTCCGGGGATCAACGCCCCCGCGGCCCGGTCCACGACCAGGCCTCCCGATGGATCAGGGCCTGATCAACTAGGCTGTTACTGCTGGCCGCACGCAGTCCGACGTACGAGCCACAGCCCGGCTGATCCGGCACTGACTTTAGGTATCTGTCCAGCTCTCTCTTGAAGGCAGCCAGGGGTTTATTGGCAATTCCCCTAATGCTTGATGGGAGGCTGTTGAACAGTTTTGGGCCCCGGACACTTATGGTGTTTTTCTCTTAGTGTACCAATGGCGCCCCTACTTTTTATTGGCGGCATTTTGCATCGCCTGCCCAGTCTTTTACTTTCGTAGGGAGTGATTTCTGTGTGCAGATTTGGGACCATTCCTTCCAAGATTTTCCAAGTGTAGATTATGATATATCTCTCCCTCCTGCGTTCCAACGAGTACAAGTCAAGTGCTTTCAAGCGTTTCCCAGTAGTTAAGGTGCTTGACAGAACTTATACGTGCAGTAAAGGATCTCTGTACACTCTCTAGATCTGCGATTTCACCTGCTTTGTATGGAGATGTTAATGTACAGCAGTATTCCAGCCTAGAGAGAACAAGTGATTTGAAAAGGATCATCATGGGCTTGGCATCTCTCGTTTTGAAAGTTCTCATTATCCATCCTATCATTTTCTTTGCACGTGCGATCGTGGCACTGTTGTGATCCTTGAAAATGAGATCCTCAGACATTACTACTCCCAGGTCCCTTACATTATTTTTCCGCTCTATTGTATGGCCGGAGTCAGTAGTATACTCTGTTCTAGTTATTATCTCCTCCAGTTTTCCATAACGGAGTAGTTGGAATTTGTCCTCATTGAACATCATATTGTTTACCGTTGCCCACTGGAAAACTTTGGTAGTCACTGATCCTCTCCTCTAAACGTACTCAGTAACGCACAGTATTTGCATTTCCCATATTTTCCGCTTTATATAACTCTGAACAAAATCCAACACTGTAAACAGTAGTACTGTCCTAAATCTTCGATTATCTGAAAAAGATCGCTGCTTGGAAACGTTACCAGCTTCCAGTGTTAACAGCTTCCAGTGTTACCAGCTTCCAGTGTTACCAGGCTTCCAGTGTTACAAGTGTATAACGTTAATCAAGAACATAATCACCTGGTATCACCAGAACTCTTATGTTGTAACGTAGACTTGTGAAGCACATGCAACGTGCATTCAAGTGAACACTGCTTGCATGTAATGAGGCTGGATCACAGACTTTGACTAAAGACGAGTGCGTTTAAAAGTGGCTGAGCACAATATAAATTCCTGAGAGGCGAGTGCGAGTGAGAGAGAGGAAGCAAGGTCTGGTCCAGGCGACTCCCTCTGACTGTCGCAACCCCCAATCCTGAGGGGTCTCTTGGTGTCGCAAAATTTAAAAAAAAAATATTTTTTCTTGTGAGATGATAGAGAATCTTTTCCCGATTGTAATGACACAGAAAAACGAAATTTGATGGAAAACTGACGGAATTATGCTCTCGCGAAGTTAGCGACCTCGGCGCTGTTTACAAATCGGCGATTTCGCCCACTTTGAGCCCTATTTTCGGCTAATTCCATTGTTCCAGTCGCCCAAACTCATAGCTATTTCTTTAGAACTCCATTTTGTCTATCGATTGAGTACAAGAAACTGCCCATTTACCGATTTCAATTACCTAATAATGCGGTCAGAAATTTGCAATTTGGCCAATTTCACGAAAACTAAAAAATATGACAATTTCAAAATAAGGTCCAGAATGAACAATGCAGACATTCCTGGCTCTAAAATAACATTTTCTTTGTTCATCAGTCATGTCTCCAGGCCCCTCTGATATTACTCTTGCTTTCTATTTTGAATTTTTATTCAAACAAAAAATAGAAGACTTACTATTATGCAGACTACTGCAATACTGTAATAATTGTATAAATAACATCAACCCATTCATGACTGCATATTAGAATGGCTAGTTGGACATTTATTGGACAATGGCATCATTTGTTTACTTTTGAACATTGGTAAAAATCAAACATTTCCCCTATTTTGAGCTCCATTTCTAGGTTCTTTTTATAGTAAAATCAATCTAAATCACCTCTATTTCTATAATATGTTTTCCATTCTATCAAATGAGACCAAGAAAACGAGAATACAACCATAAATACTATACGAAAATAGACCACAAAGTCGGCATTTTGATTAAAAAAAAACGGTCGGAGTTTTTTTTTTTCTCATGCACTGCGTGCTCCTGGATTTTTTTTATATGGTGCACACTGACCACATAGAACCATTCTCTCACATGTGGGCCTACCAGCTTTCTCCTACTTGATTTGAAGCTGCTGGAATTTGAGTATATGTACGTCAAACAGGTACCTCGTAAGACATATATATACGGCCGCGACAGTCAAAGGGTTAATGAACAGGTGGTGACTGTCATCGGCTGACAGTCACCCCACCACACGTCACCTCTATCAATCACCACCACCACTACACATGTGATACCTCTCCTCCAATTATAATCAAGGGGGAAGCGCTAAACCAGTAGGATTATACAGCACCTGTAGGGATGGGGGATGGAAGGTATTCAGGCTTAATTCAGGGAACTGGAGAACCGATCCAATTCCCTAGATTAAGAGCCCTTCACCAGCGTCAAGGAGTGTTCCTCGGGGGGCCTCTCCTCCAACACCTGCCCCCACTCCACCCTACAACCACCAACACTCACAACAATGCTTTCGTCGCCGTCTCCATTTCACATAAAGTCACTATTATTATCCATGTGAAGCGCTAAACCCATGAGTGGTTCAGCAGCGTGAGTGAGGGAGGTTGGATGATGTAGTGAGCGCCAGACACTCGTGTTGACCTTCAATACATAACCCTTGGCACCTCATTACACGCGGGCCATGACAGTGCCAACTATTTATGATAAATTCTCGCTAATTATAGAGGCTTTAATTACTCTCCTCTAGCCTTTGTCTACTTAAAGCTGCCTACTGACTAATGTTCATATTAATATAGGTTTTTGTAATGTTCAGGTACAATAAATTAATTTCTGCACATCTGTAGCTACAATTTGTTAACACTGAATAATATGTCTTGTTTTGCCAACTGGAAGACTATTATCACCTTAAAATAATTCCCAATGACCTTACAGGAACCTCTTGAGTTCAGAAATCAGGGCTTGTGCGAGGTCAGAGCCATGGTCACACAGGACGCTGCTCCGTGGTCGTGGTCCTCCAGCAGCATCAGCGCAGCAGCGGCGGCGGCGCGCAGCGCAGCAGCAGCAGCAGCAGCAGCAGCAGCAGCAGCAGCAGCAGCAGCAGCAGCAGCAGCAGCAGCAGCAAACAGCAGCAGCAGCAGCAGCAGCACAGCAGCAGCAGCAGCAGCAGCAGCAGCCAGCAGCAGCAGCAGAGCAGCCAGCAGCAGCAGCAGCAGCAGCAGCAGCAGCAGCAGCAGCAGCAGCAGCAGCAGCAGCAGCAGCAGCAGCAGCAGCAGCAGCAGCAGCAGCAGCAGCAGCAGCAGCAGCAGCAGCAGCAGCAGCAGCAGCAGCAGCAGCAGCAGCAGCACAGCAGCAGCAGCAGCAGCAGCAGCATCGCAGCAGCACAGCAGCAGCAGCAGCAGCAGCAGCAGCAGCAGCAGCAGCAGCAGCAGCAGCAGCAGCAGCAGCAGCAGCAGCAGCAGCAAGCGGGTGTTTGTATGAGGTTGGCAGACTGTATCAGCACTCTACAGAGGACTGGTGTTGTTATGCGGTAAACAGGACTGGTATTAATATTCTAAACAAGAGGGAAACGTCGTTGCAAGAGGGAAATGTCGTTGTAAGTTTTCACGCTCCTGCGTGTGGGTTGTGTAAAGAATTATCTGTCTAGAATTAACCATGGTCTGGAAGAAATAAAAATACCTCCTAGTAATTCAAAGACATGTCGACAGAGAATGCCTCGATTAAAAAAAAAAAAAAAAAAACTTTTGCTCGGTGGAAATAATGCTTCGTTTTTGATATATATCAATATTGCCTATCTGACTAATACATCCTGAGACACTACCATCACCACCACCCGCCCAGACTGTAATGCATACTGAAAACAACAGAGGTCGAAGATGATAATCCAGCGCCGCCGCCGCCACCACCTTCCCAACTGTGCCACACACTACTTTGTAACCAGTGCCCTGTTTTGAGGTTACCATCCTCAGCTGCAAGGTTTCTTCTGCTCTGCTCTGCTTGATGCTGAAAGGAATACAAGCTTTACGGGAAAATATTTAAGTTCCCCATCATGCAATTCCCAGGCGGCGAGAAGCACATCCTTACCATACAAATGCAAGGTTCAATGTTTTTCAGTCTTTTTATTAATTCTAATGACCAGGGCGGTTTTAAGTAGCCAAAGATTAGTAATTATAAATTTGCAAAATCTAAATTCGGAAACTTTCTTTGGATTATATATATATATATATATACTATATATATATATATATATATTATATATATATATATATATATATATATATATATATATATATATATATATATATATATATAAAAAGGGGGAAATGTCTGTTACAAATCACAGAAATTTCTATTAATAAAGCTAGCTTGAGAATTTAGATTGGCAGACATGTAAGCACTATGAAGCAAGGTAAACTATGCAAGAAAGCTGGAATGACAACGTAGTGGGGAAACAGGATAATACTCTCACCAATACATTAAATGCTGCTGCTGCTGCCAGACAAGTTCTCGTTCACACACACACACACACACACACACATATATACACATACACCATAAGCACATGACCTAATATACAATATGTTTAAGGGTAATATTAACACAGCTGATCTAGCAAGGGCATGAGGTTAGTTGTGTCTAGAAGCTGGTGCACACTGTAGCACTGTCTGCTGTCAGAAGTACCACAGGACAGTAACAGGCACATCCGGGACATGCACATTAGACAGGACTACATACCCGGTACCACAGCGCCACCTGGAGGGGATAGAAAACGGGAGAAAAAAGGAAAACGTTAGCCAAACCACCAGAAAAAACGGGAAGCCGTTGGTAACAGACACACTTGCATGTGCGCGTTAAAGAAACAAAAGACTAATCCGTTCTGTGGCTCAAAGGGAAACCAGGTGAGAGCGATTCTCTTTTGAGCACAGACAGAGGTGGGTGATGAGATGGTTGACATACGAATGGTGGTCAACATAAGTTCAATAAGGTTGGTTCCTCTCCGGGATGAGAGGCAAAAATCATAACCTCACCAACAAATTAAACAAACTTCGCTGCCAAGATCTCATCAGCTGATTAACTTTCTTTTTAATAAATTAATAAAACATCTACAAAAACTCTAAAAATCTGTATAAAAACAACCACAATGCAAATTTAAATTATCAAAAAATAAAATATTTAAAATATGATTAATTGAAGATGGTGTGAAACACAAGCGAAAGCCAAACAAGGGTGAGCTCTACAAACAGGTGCTAGTGTGTTTGCTTACCAACTGCTACAACACACGACATCCGTGTCCAGGCCAGGCACCGCGGGTCACAAAGTTTGGCTCTCTAAACAGGCTACACAGCCTTTCTTATTCACAATTTCTCTAAAAGCAAGTCTCTAGGAATCTAGGTGACACATCTATCTATAAAGGCCATTTTATACGTTAATATTTCGTACACCGTCACAAAACGTTACACATACCTACAAGGTCGTATTGCAAGGCAATATTCATGCATTGCTCCTCATACAAAAAACGTGCACAAGAATACATGAACTAGAGACTTCCATGCGACCCACAATAATACACAACGTTCTTCGGCCCCAAAAAAAGGTCGAACGAAATAATAACCCTTGATGGCCTAAGTGTTTAAAACTGATCTAGTCACTACTTAATGTTCTTATGCATCGCCTGCAGATATGTGAGGAGTGATCAGATACCTGTGCAACAGTTTGGTATCTTTATTCCTGAACGTTTCGCCTATGCAGTAGGCTTCTTCAGTCGAGTACAGGTGAGTTGGCAGAAGCGGTAGAGATGTGAAGACGACGTAATCAGTCCATCATCCTTTAAAACGTAGTTTTGAGGTAGTCAGTCTCTTAGTCTTAAAGGATGATGGACTGATTACATCGCCTTCACATCTCTACTACTTCTGCCAACTCCCCTCTACTCGACTGAAGAAGCCTACTGCATAGGCGAAACGTTTCGGAATAAAGATACCTAACTGTTGCACAGGTGTCTTAATTATCAACATGTCGGTATTGTATATCTTCATAATTCACAATGTAAGGGGTCTCATGGAGCTCTGAGGGGCAATGGTCGCTACAGCTTCCTCTTATCACCAAGGGCAATGAATATTACAACTGCCAAAAGTTTGGTTGTCTCAGCCGCCTGGACACGACGCCGCTTTGTAATGCCAAAGATTTAGCGTTAAGGGAAAGGTGGTGGAGGGGAAAAAAACAGTAACTCGTCTACGATATTGAGTTTGTGTTTTTTTTTTTTAACTGGAGGGGAGAGGGAGAGAAAAAATATGAAGAGCACTGATAGGTGGTCACATTAAATATTGAGTGGTTTAATATTTGTGGACTGTGTGCAAACACTTGGGGAGGGATGTGGGTAGTCCACGTGTATTATACGTACCAGACTGTGTAATGAACCAGCCCAATGATTATGACCACCACCACTGAATAACTGTAGTGCTTAGAAAACATGGTGAAGTACACACAAACATGGTGAGGAACACACAAATATGGTGAAGTACACACAAACATGGTGAAGAACACACAAACATGGTGAAATACACACACTGAGGTACACACACTGAGGTACACACACACAGTGAGGTACACACACACAGTGAGGTACACACACACAGTGAGGTACACACACACAGTGAGGTACACACACACAGTGAGGTACACACACAGTGAGGTACACACACAGTGAGGTACACACACAAGTGAGGTACACACACACAGTGAGGTACACACACAGTGAGGTACACACACAGTGAGGTACACATATTCTAGACACAGACATTAATTAGTGTATTATAGAGACGTTCACACACTTGGTAGTGCGCTACACTTGTAACAAGAAAAGCCGTTATGTATTAACAGGGGGAAAACGAGTGAATAACCTAACAAGTATATGATGGAACACAGTGCGAAGTGCCACGCTACATACACATGTACGAAAAACAAACACTGAAAAAATAGCGAACTTCCAAGCGCTTTCGTGATTTCTCACATTATTAAGGAACCTTGATAATGTGAGAAATCACGAAAGTATTTGGAAATTCGCTATTTTTTCACAGTGGTTGTTTTGTATACTGTGATATCACCTGTTTACCGTGATCGTATTGCATACACAAGTACACACAGTGTATCATTAGTATACACATGACAAACGTGACATGCATTCACATCCAACGAATATATGATCACATAAAAAATATATTCGGGAACACTTAAAAAAAAAAAAAAAATTTAAGCAACGTATCTTGGAGCACCATAAAAAATGCAGGAGAGATGGGTTGCAAAGGTCAGTTAGCAATCACCGAGAAGACTGACGAGACTGTTGCCGAGGAGACGCATTAATGCAGGCCAGTATTACTGTTGCATATTAATGTTTTAAAAGAGGTTGATTTAGGAACCTTATTTGTTCTATCCTGAGGATAACATAAGGGGGCAGCACTGCAGCAGGCCTACTGGCCCATGCTAGGCAGGTCCCAGCCACACCCACTTAAGAAGGAAGGAGCACCGCTGCATGTCTACTGGGTAATGGGTAATTCGGGGTGTGTGAGCTCACAGTGACATGACTTGTAGTGTGTGGAGGGAGGTTGAAGGTTGAGAGTAAAAGAGAGAGGCTTGTGGGATATATGTATGTACAATGTTCGCCAAGACCGAGGTCCTGGCAAGGGTCTTAATCTTGAGATGACACGTCTCTGCGGGATATACTCAAGGATAGATCTCTTGAGTTGTTCTCTTTGGTTTATTAGATCAGAGTGTAGTGGAGGCTACATCTCTCCAGAGGTGAAGATTAACACACACGCAACAGTTCGGTATCTTTACTGGTGAAACGTTTCACCTACACGGTAGGTTTTCTCAGTCAAATACAGAGGCAGCAGGTGTAATAGTGAAATGAAGATGATGTAATCAGTCCAATAACCTTGGAGAAAGAGTATCTGAGGTGGTCAGTCCCTCAACCTGGAGAAGAGTTAAGCTCTGTGGTCTGGAACATTGTTCCAGACCACAGTCTTCAAGACTACGGTGCTCTTCACCATTTCCAAAGTTGAAGGACTGATTGCTTCGTCTTCTGTATACAGTTCTACGCTCTTCATATTAGGTCCTTGTATTAACTGATAAAGCCACTGAATGGCGAAACGTCTACAAATAAAGAAACCCATATTTTGCATAAGTATCTCATTTATCTCGGTTTTATAAACCGACACAAAAGAGCACCGGTAAAACAAACCGGTAGACAGAAGCCTACATGTCTAGACACTTCCTCTAGTAGTGTCAGGAGGATAGCGTGTTCAATGTTGAATTACTGTGTCCCCCCATAAGCTGTGTACCAACCAATAAAAATGCACTGCCAACCAGTTTAGTTACCTCTTGCCCACCTGACTGCCCTTTCAGACAACTGCCTCTATTTCACTCTGTTAGGAAACCTAACTCGGTTGTTAGCCCCTGTGACCAGTGTGATTCTAGGTATGCTCACCCGCGAGACTGGCTGAACAAAAAAGTGAAAATATGTGATGGTGAAGGAGTACGTGAAAAGGTCACGTAGTGAACAACACCTTTCAGATCTTAATCTCCCAAAGTGTCTACTAGCAAAGTGTTACTCTGGGAGGGGCTGTGGGCTAGTGGCTACCTATTTAAGTGCAGCGGCGGCAGCGAGTTTGGTAGTGTCCTGGTTCATGCAGGTGCACGGGAAAGCAGGATAACTGTTATCTATATCAGGTGACAGACGCAAAACTGAAAGGTGACGAATTGTCAAAGGAGGACACGACAGGACAAAAAAAAAAAGAGCCAGTTAGAAGAGAAGAGAAACACGAGGGGAAACAAAAGATAGCCAGGATGAAATGAGAAACAGAGTAAACAAAAGAGCCAGAAAGATAGCTCACCTTCCCTCTTACTCGACTATTCACAATACCATTCATATTTAACCACACACACACACGCATGCTACTGACAATCACGTGCGCATTTCAGAGTACACATTTCCAACGAACCAGTCATAATATAAGACTGTCGTCAAATGAATAAACGGGAAAATGGACGGTGAGCAGAACCAGGATGCTGGGTCTACTACCCGCAAACACGACGGTGTGGAACCAGGATGCTGGGTCTACTACCCGCACACACGACGGTGTGGAACCAGGATGCTGGGCCTACTACCCGCACACACGACGGTGTGGAACCAAGATGCTGGGCCTACTACCCGCACACACGACGGTGAGAGCCCCCGTTCACTCCTCTACATTCACTCCCAACGAAATCCACACCAAGTTCATCACGTACATTAGCAATCGAGTATGATCATCCGTAGTCAAACCATATCCAATCACACAAACAAGGCACACAAACACACACATCATACTACACCACACCACATACCATACACCACATACCACACCATACACCACACCATACTACACCACACACCACCTACACACACAAACACTACAACCACATAACCACACACCATACACCACACCATACTACACCACACACCCACCACACACAAACACTACAACCACGCACAACACACCAACACCACACACCACCATACTACTCCACACACAACACATACAACCACAACACCATACTACAACACACCCAAAACCACACACAACACACCACACACAACACACCCAACACCATACTACACACCACAACACACCATAACCAACACACCACACACCATACTACAACACACCATACTACACAAACAACACCATACTACACACACCAACAACACCATACAACACACCAACCATACTACACACCCATACTAACACACACCATACTACACACACACACCATACACACACACACCAAACTACACACCAACACACACACACACCATACTACACACAACTACACCACACAACACACCAAACACCATACACACACACCCAACAACACACATACACACCACACACACACCATACTACACCACACACCATACTACACACACCAACACACCACACTACACCACACCACAAACACACCATACTACACCACACACAACACCATACACACACACAGCACACCATACTACACACACAACACCATACTACACCAACACCACACCACACACACCAACAACACACACCATACTACACACACAACACACCACACACCAACTACACACACATACTACACACACACAACACACCAACCAACTACACAACAACACCAAATAACACACCAACAAACACAACACAACACACAACACAACACCATACTACACACACACACACATACACACACTCAAGTCACCATACTACACCACACACAACACCCATACACCATCAACAATAACACACACAGCACCCATTGTATTACCACACATAGAACCCAAACAACACACCTCTACACCACAACACATACTACACAAAGAGTGCACCAGTACTGAAGTCAACATTCTCACACACACAACCTTCAACAGTTCTTCAGGTAGAGAGAAAGATAGCAGTGGCGCTGCAATTGTGCTTTCAAAGACAAATGTTACGAACCCTAACAAGTTGCTGTCAGGATGAAAAATATTAACTGCCAGGGAAGTTAAGTCGGCCAGGGTGTTCTGGGGGAAGAGGAGAAGAGCGAGAGAAGAGAGCGCCTTTGTAGCTTTTAAATAAAGTTAGGAACCCCTAAACCTAACCTTGCAAAACCCGGTGGAAAAGAAATTATTACATTCAAGATAGGTGCAAAACCCGAGGGATAGCTGTGATTGGTTTCAAAAGTATAAAGGGACCACGACTCTTCAGCACCTCTCTTCATGTATAGGGGAATTACCCACAAACCCCTGGCTGTCTTCAAGAGAGAATTCAACATATTCTCTCGAAAAACAGTTCCTGATCAGCAGGGTTGAGGTGAATACGTTAGACAGCCAGCAAGCAGGTGGTCTGGTCTAGGAACGTGCCCCAGGGGTGATGATCTCCTGAAGACTCCCAGGTAGCCTGCAGGTGCAGCTGAACACCAGGCACCTCCTGGCCCCACAATGTATGAACATCAGTAAAATATTCATTCTTAAAATGGTAGTCTTGGACGCTTGTAAGGGTGTCGACACATAAGCCAGTACTTCCCAATGACCGCTAAGCTTACAACAGAAAGGTCCCGGGTTCAATCACCGGGCCGGCGAAATATATGAACACATCTTCCTTTACACCAGCCTGGTTAATCAGGCAAACACCAGACGAGCCTGGCTCATGGCCGGGCTCCGGGAGTAGGAAAAAAAAAACTCTGAACTCATCAGAAGTATAGTTTTTGTAATATATTTTATTACTGAAACACGGATGGCGATGCAATAATGTGTAAACAAGAGAGAGAAGCATCCCCAGATAGGTTCCTCGTCCTCCAACATGACAACAAAGAGGAACAAGAGCATCAATGGCCAGATTTAGTTTTAATCTGCCGGAAGTGCACAGCATATTAGTGGTTTTTTGTGCTTAACAATATTTTATTACATGTAAACTACATTGTGTTCACTGCACAAAGAAATAACGTTTGTTTTAATATTATGACGATGACTAAGACCAATCAGAGAGAGAGAGAGAGAAGAGAGAAGAGAGAGAGAGAGAGAGAGACAGAGACAGAGACAGAGACAGAGACAGAGACAGAGACAGAGACAGAGACAGAGACAGAGACAGAGACAGAGACAGAGACAGAGAGAGAGAGAGAGAGAGAGAGACAGAGACAGAGACAGAGACAGAGACAGAGACAGAGACAGAGACAGAGACAGAGACAGAGACAGAGACAGAGACAGAGACAGAGACAGAGACAGAGACAGAGAGAGAGAGAGAGAGAGAGAGAGAGAGAGAGAGAGAGACAGAGACAGAGACAGAGACAGAGACAGAGACAGAGAGAGAGAGAGAGAGAGAGAGAGAGAGAGACAGAGAGACAGAGAGACAGAGAGACAGAGAGAGAGACAGAGACAGAGACAGAGAGAGAGAGAGAGAGAGAGAGAGAGAGACAGAGACAGAGACAGAGACAGAGACAGAGACAGAGACAGAGACAGAGACAGAGACAGAGACAGAGACAGAGACAGAGACAGAGACAGAGAGAGAGAGAGAGAGAGAGAGAGAGAGAGAGACCTAAAGTTGTCTCTACGAACACTCAAAACGGAAGTACACTAATATACATGACGCACACACGGGTTATATACACCAGGCACACACCAACACTTAACAACAGAGAGTGGTGAAACTGGTAAGAGACGTGAAATGTTAATATTATGGAAACTAGACCACCGCCTCAGACAGCAACGTTAGAAACACTTAAACTAAACAATCAGCGAGCAATAATGGATGGATCACTAGTTATAAAAGACATTTACTTATAAACAAACTATTTTAGAAAATAAATTTTGGTTAGGAAAAAAAATGTTCGGTTAGAAAACGAAAATATTTGGTGGTTAGAAAAGCAAAGCAGTTGGTTAGAGACAGACAGACAGACACACACACACACACACACACACACACACACACACACACACACACACACACACACACACACACACGAGCGGGGTTCCACAGGGGTCAGTCCTAGGACCGGTACTATTCCTGGTATTTGTGAACGACATGACGGAAGGAATAGATTCAGAAGTGGCCCTGTTTACAGATAATGTGAAGTTGATGAGAAGAATGCAATCGAACGAGGACCAGGAAGAACTACAAAGGGATCTGGACAGGCTGCAGACCTGGTCCAGCAACTGGCTCCTGGAGTTCAACCACACCAAGTGCAAAGTCATGAAGATTGGGGAAGGGCAAAGAAGACCGAAGACTGAGTACAGTCTAGGGGGCCAGGGACTACAAACCTTACTCAAGGAAAAGGATCTTGGGGTGAGTATAACACCAGGCACATCTCCTGAAGCGCACATCAACCAAATAACTGCTGCAGCATATGGGCGCCTAGCAAACCTCAGAACAGCATTCCGACATCTTAATAAGGAATCGTTCAGGACCCTGTACACCGTGTACGTTATACCCATATTGGAGTATGCGGCACCAGTTTGGAACCCACACCTAGCCAAGCACGTAAGGAAACTAGAGAAAGTGCAAATGTTTGCAACAAGACTAGTCCCGGAGCTAAGAGGTATGTCCTACGAGAAGAGGTTAAGGGAGATCAACCTGACGACACTGGAGGACAGGAGAGATAGGGACGATATGATAATGACATATTAAATACCGAGAGGAATCGACAAGGTGGACAGAGACAGGATGTTCCAGAGATGGGACACAGCAACAAGGGGTCACAGTTGGAAGTTGAAGACTCAGATGAATCACAGGGATGTTAAGTATTTCTCCAGTCACAGAGTTGTTAGGAAAGTGAAATAGTCAGCGAAGTGATGTAGTGGAGGCAGGACCCATACATAGCTTTAAGAAGAGGCATGATATAGTTCATGGAGCAGGAAGAGTGACTTAGTAACGACCAGCGAAGAGGCGGGGCCAGGAGCTATGAATCGACCCCTGCAACCACAATTAGGTGAGTATACACACAGTACCAAGCAACACACCAGTGTGAATGAAGACAGTTTCAACGTAGCCTGTAAGACACTACCAGAGTTGAATTTTCATACTTCACTTCGTTCACAGTGAGGTCTGGTCTGGGACCGAGAGTCGCGGGGATGGGGAGCAGTGACTCTCCCCGGAGCCATCACCAGGTACACCGAACCGCAGTGACCTGACCCGAAATAAATCATACTGCTCCCGAAACAATCTTCAAATGACCCAAGATATGACGGTGAAATGAGCAATGAGGTGATAAATAACCATTAAGTGACATGAAATGGCAAGGAAATGACACGAGATGTAGATTTTGTCCGCCGAAGCGGCTTGTTTACTGCGCACCAAGCATCCACACTGTGGACGCTAGCGCAAGAAACATGCGGAGACAATAAGATGGTCAGTGAAACAGCCAAGTGAAATGTCATGGAAGCCAAGAAAAGGTCATGAACTGGGCTGCAGTGCACCTGAAGCGAGCTGCCCACGACCTAGGAACTAGAGAAGCACACATCAGAGACGGCAAGTCTAATCTTAAAAGAATATAAAGGTACAATACCGTGTCTGGAGCAACACAAACAACCCTCACACAGAATGAAACTCATGACGACGTTTCGGTCCGACTTGGAGCGAAACGTCCACGAAGCACGCCTCGTCTTACCTTGGGCAGAGCCGCCAGCGCCTGCTGCTTCACGTCCCACACCAAGTCATCCTTGTGGAACTGGAGGCACTTCTCCACTTTGAGTTCGGGTACGTTGATCCTCAACACAACCTCCTCCCCGACGCTGGAGGCGCAGGAGGAGCCAGCCCCGGAGGCTGAGCTTACACTCACACCGTCCTCCATCAGTGCACTCCGAGACCTGAAAGGAAGAACGCTGGGTTAGTGCACACGGTGTCGTGTAGTCACATTGTAACGAATTTTAACGTGGTGTTAGGTGAATAAGACAATCGTTACACCAGCTTTGCTATCTATTGTGAACACGTTTCGCCCACCAGTGGCTTTATAATCCAACACTGAGAATGATACTAGATTATTCTGTCTTGGACTAAGAGTCACTGGTTAGCGACCCGTAGCTCGGTTGGTAGAGCACTCAGCTCACACTGAAGTCCGTGGATCGATCCCCAGTACGGGTGGAAACATTAGGAACTGTTTCCTTAGAACACCTGCTGTTTATGTTCACCTAGCATTATTATGGGTGTTAGTCGACTGGTGTGGGTCGCATCCTGGAGACAAAACTGATCTAATTTGCCCGAAATAATCATAACAAGTGGCTTTCTATATAGTAGCATATCACTGTTGTCAACTAGGACTGTATACTTTGTACATGTACTTGTAGTAAAAAAAATTATTAAAATACCCAACTTGTTGCACACTCTTTTTAATCGTGTTTAATACCCACTGAAATTAAACATAATATTAACATGAGACAAAGTTAGTATAGTATTGGATAACATCAAGTATTAATTTCGTGACGTTTAAAATATTTTTTCATAGTTATTGAGACAGACAACTGACAAACTCCTTGACCACAACACACTGCTTACTAAGTCTGCAGCTTCTTATACAGCACAACAGTAGTCAGAGGTGTTGTGGAATGAAGGCAATCAGGTTCGATTCGAGGAAAGGGAAGGGTTGCTCCAATTCCTTGGATCAGAGGGTATAACCCTCGAAACCGGTCACAGGTACAAAGAAAATATATTTTAATGATTTTTGTCTTAATAGGTATATTTTATTAGGTCCCAGGGATTATGACCCTGGAGGCCAGGTCTCGGACCAGGTCTCCTGATTAACCAGGCTGTTGATGCCTACGGGGCACCAGCACGAGGCAGACACCACAGCCCTGCTGGTCACAAGTGACAGCAAGCTTGTGTTGCTTCCCGGAACACACTCCAGGCAGTGTTGATCATCTTTCTCTCATTTGAAAGAAATGTTGCAGGGAACAACTTTCGCTTCCTGGTGATTATCTGACGCACTTGTTCCTATCACCACACTAGTCACCACCACCACCACCACACCACACCACCACCACACCAGTCACCACCACCACACCAGTCACCACCACCACCACACCAGTCACCACCACCACACCAGTCACCACCACCATCACCAGTCACCACCACACCACACCAGTCACACCCACCACCACCACACACCAGTCCACCACCACCACCATCACCAGTCACCCACACCAGTCACCACCACCACCATCACCCAGTCACCACCAACTCACCACCCCACACCAGTCACCACACCACACCACACACCACACCAGTCACCACCACCACACAGTCACCACCACCACCACACCAGTCACCACCACCACCACCACACCAGTCACCAACACCACACCAAGTCACCACCACCACACCAGTCACCACCATCACAAGCACCACCACCATACACCATCACCACCACACCAGTCACCATCCACCCACCACCACACAGTCACCACCCACCACACCAGTCACCACCACACAGTCACCACCACCACATCAGTCACCACCACCACACCAGTCACCACCACCACACCAGTCACCACCACCACACCAGTCACCACCACCACACCAGTCACCACCACACACATCCAGCCCACCACCACCAGTCACCACACCACCACCACACACAGTCACCACCACCACACAGTCACCACCACCACACACCAGTCACCACCACCATCCACACCAGTCACACCACCACACAGTCACCACCACACCACACCATCACACACCACCATCACACAGTCACCACCACCACACCAGTCACCACCACCACATCAGTCACCACCACCATCATCCAGTCACCACACAGTCACCACCACCACATCAGTCACCACCACCATCATCAGTCACCACCACACATCACAGTCACCCACCACCATCATACAGTCACCACCACCATCATCAGTCACCACCACCAATCATCAGTCACCACCACCATCATCAGTCACCAACCACCATCATCAGTCACCACCATCCATCATCAGTCACCACCACCATCATCAGTCACCACCACACATCCATCATGTCCACCCCACTCACCACCACCATCATCAGTCACCACCACATCACATCACCCACCATCACACACCACCACATCATCAGTCACCACCACCATCATCAGTACACCACCACCACCAATCATCAGTCACCACCACCACCACACCATCCACATCCATCACCACCACCACCATCATCAGTCCACCCACCAACACCATCATCAGTCACCACCACCATCATCAGTCACCACCACCATCATCAGTCACCACCACCATCATCAGTCACCACCACCATCATCAGTCACCACCACCATCATCAGTCACCACCACCATCATCAGTCACCACCACCATCATCAGTCACCACCACCATCATCAGTCACCACCACCATCATCAGTCACCACCATCCACCACCATCATCAGTCACCACCACCATCCAGTCACCACCACCATCACCACACAGTCACCACCCCCACCAATCAACAGTCACCACCACCACAACAGTCACCACCACCATCATCAGTCACCACCACCATCATCAGTCACCACCACCATCAACAGTCACCACCACCATCATCAGTCACCACCACCATCATCAGTCACCACCACCATCAACAGTCACCACCACACCAGTCACCACCACCATCAACAGTCACCACCACCATCACCTCCCTCGCTCCACCACTCACTACAATACACACTTAAACTCACCATAAACAACTAACACATCAAACACGGCTCTCACGTTTCTCTTCAAACTTGATGAATGACTTGGCGAGGGTCTCTGTTATCATTATAAAGACCAGAGTAGGACTGCAACAGGCAGGCAGGTCATGTACACGAGTATCATATACTGACAAGAACCTTAACACAATGTACACTTTATGACATTTTATTGAGACGACGTATCGCCCAGGGGCTTCATGGAGACTTGATAAAGTCCCAGGAGGTCGAAACGTTGCCTCAATAAAATCCCATAAACAGTATAGTGTGTGTTATTAACATGGGGAGGTCCTTGTCAAACAGACTGTCCCTCCTCAAACCTCCGTCCCGACGCCACTAACCTAGATTATTATAATCAAGGGGGAAGCGCTAAACCCGGAGGATTATACAGCGCCTGGGGGGGGATGTGGAAGGCATTCAGGCTTAATTCGGGGAACTGGAACACAAATCCAATTCCCTAAATCAAGAGCCCCTCACCAACATCAAGGAACCTTCCTTGAGGGGCACTAACCTAGAGAATGTCTTATTACTCACCAATGAAACTTAGAAAGTGACATTTGCAGTGCTAGAGATTGGTCGAGATCATATAACCCTAATTTTTAAAGAGGTAGAGGGGTAGGCCAGTGGAAGGCCTCGGTCAGATGATCAAAAGCTCCATCGTATGACTGGGACCAGCGTCAGGAAACACTTCTTCAGTTTCCTTACAAACCTAATCTAACCTAACCCTGGTCGCGCTCGACTACAGCCAACACCAGCCAGCCAGCCAGCCAGAATGTCAGGAGGTTAATGAGTAGGTAAAAAAAAAAAAAAAAAGCCTTTAGGAAAAGCACTGATAACAGCCGCACTCGAGAGATTAAAAGCATTCAACGAGTGAGCACAAATGCAATTGCAGCAAAGACCTCACCAACTGCTAGTGTTGACGTGAACTCTGACTTTCCTTGTTTACCCTATAGTGAGAGGGGATCCCTCTCCTTATCCCCCTCCCCCCTCAGCTGCCATTTGCAACATCTCACAGCCCCTCCCTCCCTCTCATCCTTCGATGTATTCACCAGTAAAAGTGTGTATCTGAAATACTCATCAACAGAGACACACAACATTCCTACATAATAGAGTAACAACCAATTACTGTGGTAAAATATCTTCATTATTTCATAAAAACTGCGACGAGGGTCGTGTCGAGCAAAGTTTGTCAGAAAACAGGACAAGTACTTCCTAACGTGGGTCTTAAAACATATGATGACCAGCAGCTGGAGCTTTTGGTCATCTCACCGAGGCCTTCCACTGGCTTACCCCTCCACCCTTTTAAAAATTATTATAAACAAATACAAGGATACAATGTGAAGAATTATATTACAAAAGATGAGGTAATCAGTCCCTCAGCCTTGAAGATGAGCACCGTGGTCTTGAAGCACCGTGGTCTTGAAGCACCGTGGTCTTGAAGCACCGTGGTCTTGCAGCACCGTGGTCTTGCAGCACCGTAGTCTTGAAGCACCGTGGTCTTGAAGCACCGTGGTCTTGAAGCACCGTGGTCTTGAAGCACCGTGGTCTTGAAGCACCGTGGTCTTGAAGCACCGTAGTCTTGAAGCACCGTAGTCTTGAAGCACCGTGGTCTTGAAGCACCGTGGTCTTGAAGCACCGTAGTCTTGAAGCACCGTGGTCTTGAAGCACCGTAGTCTTGAAGCACCGTGGTCTTGAAGCACCGTGGTCTTGAAGCACCGTGTCTTGAAGCACCGTGGTCTTGAAGCACCGTAGTCTTGAAGCACCGTGTCTTGAAGCACCGTGTCTTGAAGCACCGTGGTCTTGAAGCACCGTGGTCTTGAAGCACCGTGGTCTTGAAGCACCGTGGTCTTGAAGCACCGTGGTCTTGAAGCACCGTGGTCTTGAAGCACCGTAGTCTTGAAGCACCGTAGTCTTGAAGCACCGTGGTCTTGAAGCACCGTGGTCTTGAAGCACCGTGGTCTTGAAGCACCGTGGTCTTGAAGCACCGTAGTCTTGCAGCACCGTAGTCTTGAAGCACCGTGGTCTTGAAGCACCGTGGTCTTGAAGGAACTGAAGCACAGTCAGGGACTGATAGAATGATTACCTCATTCTCCTCAACTTTCATTGTTCTTCTCGTATTAGACTGAAGAAGCCACCGGCTGGCGAAACGTTTCCTCAATAAAGATTCCCATTCATCATCTCGCTCACACATCAAAAATCACAAAGTAAAACTATCTGAAACTGGATTGTTTCAAATCTCGTCAGTCATGTCGATATTTAATATAGGATTATCAAAGCTTACTCTTTGGGTAACATTGAAAGTGGGTTGGGACCTTACTAGCATTAGCTAGTAGGCCTGCTGCAGTGTTCCTCCTTTTATGTTCTTATCAGCAGTAAGTGACGGCAAACTTAGACGAAGGGGGAAATATCCCCACTATTTATTCCGAAGGAGATGTTGGGGGGTCTTAGCTTGGCACCCTGTTGGGGGGTGGCACCCTGCTGGGGGTGGCACCTTGTTGGGGGTGGCACCCTTTTGGGGGAGTGGCACCCTGTTGGGGGTGGCACCTTGTTGGGGGTGGCACCCTGTTGGGGGTTGCACCTTGTTGGGGGTGGCACCCTGTTTGCGGATGGCACCCTGCTGGGGGTTGGCACCCTGTTGGGGGGGGTAGCACCCCTCCAAGGCAGAAACTATTCAAACTACCACAATGAAAAGTAGAGGATGGGGTCGCAGGGGGAGGCTGCAGCGCTAGGCAACTATATCAACGTTTCGCCTACTGGATGGGGGGCAAAACAATTCCGTGTCACACAGCTACAACACTATTTACTCAGGGAATGTGAACTGGTGGAGCTGTGATGTACCTGACTGACTCTCGAGCAATATTGGCCTACAAGATGAGGCCACGTTGATCAGGGAGTTTCGCTCACTGGGAGCTCCTGACTTCTCTTTCAGTGAGCAAAACGCTACCATTAGCAATGTGCTAGTGGTGTACATGGGTTGTGTGTCCACACGTCCATATCTAATGCCATTTTTGACCTGTGTATAAATGTGAGTCGGGTCCTTTTGACCTGAAAAGTACCACTGACCTGTGGACTACTTGTGAACTAGTAAGACACGTGCAATAGTTAGGTATTTTTATTTCGAAACTATTCGTCTACACAGTAGGCTTCTGGAGCAATGTTCCAGACTATGGAGCAGAACTTCTCCAGGCTGAGGGACTGACCACCTCAAAACTACGTCTTCAAGGGTGATGGACTGATTACATCGTCTTCACATCTCTACTGCTTCCGCTAACTCTTCTGTACTGGACTGAAGAAGCCTACCGTGCAGGCGAAACGTTTCGGAATAAAGATACCTAACTGTTGCACGTGTGTCTTACCAACCTGTCGGTATTATATACCATTATCATGTTCATACAACCTATGGACTATTTCTGGACTACCAATGGATAGTTCCAGGTTGTGGGAGGGGGGGGGGGTCAACATCCAAGTAGGCCAGTCAAAGACTAGGCCTCCCTGCTTGAAGGCCTGATTAATAAATTTATTTTGGCTACTAGCTTTCTATCAATTATTAATCTTAAAATATAATTATTATTATTATTACTATATTCTGAGGAAGCGCTAAAACCGTATTGGGTTACTTACAACACACACACACACACACACACACACACACACAAAACACACACACACACACACACACACACACACACACACACACACACACACACCACACACACACACACACACACACACACACACACACACACACACACACACACACACACACACACACACACACACACACACACACACACACACACACACACACACACACACACGGTTCCTGGGGAACAGGGGAGAAATAGATAGATATGCCTTTGAATAGTAAGCTAGGATGAATTTATGTCTTACCATAGAGGATGAGGATTGATCCTGGATGTGAGAAAGGATTCCTGAAACTTCATAACTGTTTCCTCGTAACGGAGGATAAGTGTCAGCGAGGCGACCTTGACAAGTGGAGAACACACACAACACAACACAAAATAACCACTTGCTTGCTTCAAAACTTGATATGTAGCGGCCACACTTATAAACAAACTAACGCCACTCTCTCACTGCCTTGACTGTTGCGTCTCACCCTTCACTGGAGTACTGAGGAGCATCCCTCACTGCAGTAATGAGGACCATCTCTCACTGGAGTACTAAGGATCCCCCCTCACTGGAGTACTGAGGATCATCCCTCACTGGAGTACCGAGGATCACTCCTTACATGAGTATACCCTCTCTATAATCCACAAATCTACCTTCTACGACCACTAACGGGGGTATACTGGCCAGAGTAGTACCCCCGTGAACAACACCCATCCACCCACACTCTACCTTCACACCGTCCTGCCCTCACACACACAACGACTTAACCACCTTGTTTCAACCACCCAAACAACACTCAGTGTGTGTGTTATTGGTGACGCTTACGATAGCCTACTGCTTGAGTTTATATCTTTGACTATTCATAAGATAATGTACCAATGATAAGATTGTATTGTCAGAAATGATCCCCCACACGTTAAATCTCTTACCTAATAGTACAGTGATTCCTGACTGCTAGTTATTTAGTTAGTTTATTTAGGATACTGACACATAAATACAGTTACACAATTATTATACATAGTAACATATGTGTAAATTACCTAGGATAACCCAAAAGAAAGTCAATGACTTATTTCAGGAAGGAGGATCGAGTCTCCACTTTTCCCTGTGCTGAATTACTTCCACCGGTTATTTCAATTTAAGGTGTAAGATGTACACTGGAGTGTGTGTGTGTGTGTGTGTGTGTGTGTGTGTGTGTGTGTGTGTGTGTGGTTGTGTGTGTGTGTGTGTGTGGTGTACTCACCTAGTTGGGGTTTGCGGGCCGTCGAGTCCGAGCTCCTGGCCCCGCCTCTTCACTGATCGCTACTAGGTCACTCTCCCTGAGCCGTGAGCTTTATCATCCTCTGCTTAAAGCTATGTATGGATCCTGCCTCCACTACATCGCTTCCCAAACTATTCCACTTACTGACAAACTCTGTGGCTGAAGAAATATTTCCCTAACACCCCTGTGATTCATCTGTGTCTTCAACTTCCAACTGTGTCCCCTTGTTACTGTGTCCAATCTCTGGAACATCCTGTCTTGTCCACCTTGTCAATTCCTCTCAGTATTTTGTAAGTCGTTATCATGTCCCCCCTATCTCTCCTGTCCCCCAGTGTCGTCAGGTTGATTTCCCTTAACCTCTCCTCGTAGGACATACCTCTTAGCTCTGGGACTTAGTCTTGTTGCAAACCTTTGCACTTTCTCTAGTTTCTTCATATGCTTGGCTAGGTGTGGGTTCCAAAACTGGTGCCGCATACTCCAATATGGGCCTAGGTACACGGTGTACAGGGTCCTGAATGATTCCTTATTAAGATGTCGGAATGCTGTTTGAGGTTTGCTAGGCGCCCATATGCTGCAGCAGTTATTTGGTTGATGTGCGCTTCAGGAGATGTGCCTGGTGTTTTTACTCCCCCAGTCTTTTTCCTTGAGTGAGGTTTGTTAAATCTTGGCACCCTAGACTGTACTCCGTCTGCGGTCTTCTTTGCCTTCCCCAATCTTCAAAGACTTTGCACTTGGTGGGATTTTAACTCCAGGATCCAATTGCTGGACCAGGTCTGCAGCCTGTCCAGATCCCTTTTTAGTTCTTTCCTGGTCTTCGATCGAGTGAAATTTTTCTCATCAAACTTCACGTCATCTGCAAACAGGGACACCTCAGAGTCTATTCCTTCCGTCATGTCGTTCACAAATACCAGAAACAGCACTGGTCCTAGGACTGACCCCTGTGGGACCCCGCTGGTCACAGGTGCCCACTCTGACACCTCGCCACGTACCATGACTCGCTGCTGTCTTCCTGACAAGTATTCCCTGATCCATTGTAGTGCCTTCCCTGTTATCCCTGCTTGGTCCTCCAGTTTTTGCACCAATCTCTTGTGTGGAACTGTGTCAAACGCCTTCTTGCAGTCCAAGAAAATGCAATCCACCCACCCCTCTCTCTCTTGTCTTACTGCTGTCACCATGTCATAGAACTCCAGTAGGTTTGTGACACAGGATTTCCCGTCCCTGAAACCATGTTGGCTGCTGTTGATGAGATCGTTCCTTTCTAGGTGTTCCACCACTCTTCTCCTGATAATCTTCTCCATGATTTTGCATACTATACATGTCAGTGACACTGGTCTGTAGTTTAATGCTTCATGTCTGTCTCCTTTTTTAAAGATTGGGACTACATTTGCTGTCTTCCATGCCTCAGGCAATCTCCCTGTTTCGATAGATGTATTGAATATTGTTGTTAGGGGTACACATAGTGCCTCTGCTCCCTCTCTCAATACCCACGGGGAGATGTTATCTGGCCCCATTGCCTTTGAGGTATCTAGCTCACTCAGAAGCCTCTTCACTTCTTCTCGGTTGTGTGCACTGGTGTCCAGCACATGGTGGTGTGCCCCACCTCTCCGTCTTTCTGGAGCCCCTTCTGTCTCCTCTGTGTGTGTGTGTGTGTGTGTGTGTGTGTGTGTGTGTGTGTGTGTGTGTGTGTGTGTGTGTGTGTGTGTGTGTGTATGTGTGTGTGTGTGTGTGTGTGTATGTATGTGTGTGTGTGTGTGTGTGTGTGTCTGTGTGTGTGTGTTAATGTTGTTGTGAGCAGGTGTTACCTGTGTTAGTAATCACACGCTGTACCTAGTATGAAGCCAGGTGCTAGGGACTAATTTAGATGACCTAATATTTAGCCAGGTGTTAGAAATCTAATCTAAAAGTACCTTGCATAGAGCCAGGTATTAGGGAACTAATCTAAGGTACCCACCTGGAGTCTACCTGGAGAATGTTCCGAGAGTCAACGCCCTCTTCACCAGGACCCAGCCCAGGCCTCCCGGTAGATGACCTGATCAACCAGGCTGTTGGTGCTAGCCACTTGAAGTATAAGATACGCACCACAGTCCGGCTGATCAGGCACTGACTTACAAAAAAAAAAAACTTACCAACTTCCTTCTTGAAGACAGCCAGGGGTCTGTTGGTAATCTCCCGTTTGTAAGAAGGGAAGGCTTCGAAAAGTCTTGGTCCCTGCAGACTTATTGAGTTTTCTCTTAGTAAACTCACTGCACCTCTGCTTTCCATTCAGAATACTTTACACCGTCTGCCAAGCCTTTTAATTTCATGGGGAACAATTTGTGTGCAGATTTGGGACTAATCCGTCTAGAATTTTTTAGGTGTAAATTATAATGTACCTCTTTCGCCTACGTTCCAAGGAGCACAGATCGAAGGACTTCAAACATTCCCAGTAATTTAGGTGGTTGACTGAAACCCATGAGGGAAGTGAAGGTTCTCTGCACCTCCTCCAGCTCTGCAATTTTGCCTACCTTGAACGAAGCCGTTGGAGTACAGCAGTGACTTCAAGAGTGTCATCATTGGCCTGGCATCTCTTGTTCTGAAGATTCTAGTTATCCAGCTTGGCATCTTCCTCGCGGTTGTGATAGTGACTTCTATTTGTCAGAGAATTAAACATGCAGTCAGATGCTAGGGAACTAGTCTAGGTGTGCCTAGCAAAATGCTAGCTAGGTACTATCATCCCGTGACTCATCAGAGATGATAGTGATTTATCATTCATGCTGATTACGGATGACGTAGACAGTATTGATGGCACTGATGACGTTAGGTGAAGTGCTCTGAGTGGACTCTTGTGATCACACCCTTAGTACACTCATTCATGTCACTCAGAAGCAGGTGATGTGTTGCCCAATCATCACCTGACACTCAGAAGCAGGTGAGAAGGTAGTCAATCATCACTTGACACTCAGAAGCAGGTGGTACTTCTAAATAAAAGGAAACTTCATACACAGTTTTGAGAGTAGGTACGACAGGGACAGATTGTTTGAATTAAGAAGACCAGGATGAAGGGGACACAAGTGGAAGCTGAAGACAAAGATGACCCACCGGGATGTTAGGAAGTATTTCTTTAATCTCAGGGTGGATGAAAAGTGGACTGACTTGGATGAGACAGGGGTCTACCTACCTGGAGTCTACCTGGAGGGCATTCCGGGGATCAACGTCCCCGCGGCCCGATCCACGACCAGGCCTCCCGGTGGATCAGGGCCTGATCAACGAGGCTGTTACTGCTGGACGCAAGTAGTTCAACATACGAACCACAGCCCGGCTGATCCGGCACTGACTTTAGGTATCTGTCCAGCAAACTCAATACACAGCTTCAAGAGTAGATACGATAAGCCTCAAGAAGCCAGAAGTCAGTGATGACAATCGTGTTGGCCTAAGAGGCGGGACCAGGAGCTGAGTCTCGACCCCATCAAGACAACTTGGTGAGTGCACACACACACACACACACACGTGTGTGTGTGACAGATGGTGTCCACACAACTACCAACTTAACCATTCAGTTCCTGCACCAGCTGCATTCACCACCTGCTGAGTGTTGTGGTATACAATGTGTAGGGTGTAGGTGTGGGGGTGTAGGTGTGGGGGTGTAGGTGTGGGGGTGTGGGGGTGTGGGGGTGTGGGTGTAGGGGTGTGGGTATGGGGGTGTGGGATGTCGTGTGGTGTGGGTGTGCGTGTGGAGTGTAGGTGTGGGGGTGTGAGTGTGGAATGTGTGAGTGGGCTGTGAGTGTGGGGTGTAGGTGTGAGGGTGCGAGTGTGGGGTGTGGGGGTGTGGTGGTGTAGGTGTGGAGGTGTGACTGTGGGGGTGTGGGGTGTGACTGTACTTTTCCACTCTCCCTCTCCATACATTCTACACTAAGCGACGGTTAACAAGCGTATATCCGTGTGGTTACGTTGCTAGGGGATACAAGGGGTGACACACACACACACACACACACACACACACACACACACACACACACACACACACACACACACACACACACACACACACACACACACACACACATACAAAATTATGGAGAAGATTATCAGGAGGAGAGTGGTGGAGCACCTGGAACCGAACAAGAGTATAAATGCCAACCAGCACGGATTCACGGAAGGCAAATCCTGTGTCACAAACCTTCTGGAGTTTTATGATAAAATAACAGAAGACACGAGAGAGAGGGGTGGGTTGATTGCATCTTCTTGGACTGCAAGAAGGCCTTTGACACAGTTCCTCACAAGAGATTAGTGCAGAAGCTAGAGCATCAGGCGCATATAACAGGAAGGGCACTGCAATGGATCAGAGAATACCTGACAGGGAGGCAACAACGAGTCATGGTACGTAATGATGTATCACAGTGGGCACCTGTGACGAGCGGGGTCCCACAGGGGTCGGTCCTAGGACCAGTGCTATTTTTGGTATATGTGAACGACATGACGGAAGGGTTAGACTCAGAAGTGTCCCTGTTTGCAGATGATGTGAAGTTAATGAGGAGAATTAAATCTGATGAGGACAAGGCAGGACTTCAAAGAGACCTGGA